GAGCGTGGTCGGGCAGAAGGCGTTGTCCACGAAGTCCTCGCATATGTCACATTTATGCGTCACCCAACCGTAAATGGTGCTTTGCTCCTACTGGTCGGCGTCTGCCGGCTTTGTCGGGCAGATGTTTGGGGGAAGTCGAACCCAGAACGTGCATTTAGGATCCAGTGCTTTGAAGTTCGACTCTCGTGTGTCTCTTGTGCAGACGCCGTAACGGAAGTTGGGCATCTGGATGCTTATATCCCCCATGTTTTTGCGGTTTAAAGCGTGAATTTATGCTTTTCTGCGAGCGATTTCTCTGCGCTTGGTGCGGGCTGGTATATAAACAGAAACTTTTTGGCAGACCTGAAAATGTTTTCCTTGTCAGATCAGTCTAGGTTGAAAATCTTTTCCTTGAGTCGTGCTTTGTCAACATGGTCTATTTGGCTCATTGGAAAAATCGAACGACCCTGGATTTTTTATTCGTGCTCACAGGGAGAGGGGGTAGGAATAGTGGGAGAGGGGGTAGGGATAGAGGTTGTTATCGCCCTTTATTCAAATGTCATGGCTGCTATGCTAGATATGCATCTAGAGCTGTTTCTCACTGGCGCACAATCTTGCCTATTCGACGTGTCTGTCATTTGGCTAATAAGGCTCTCGGGCTTCCCACGATTATTCGTCCATTTTAACATTGTCTTTCCTGGGGAGGCAAAATTCCATGGGCGGGTAGGCATTTCGGGTCACTGAGGAGGCATCTGCCTCCACAGTGTAGATGCCAAAATACGGCCTGGATATAGGCTGGTGAAAATTTTGAAAGTGGGTTCATAGCTCACAGTGTGATAGATTTTTCATGCACCTTCATTTCGCTGGCTGCTTTTCAAGCGATAGGACTTGTCGCAGCATTTTAGGCGGAAATAAAGTCGGGAGCTTGAAACTGGCAGAAACAATGTGACAAAAGCCATGATACTGGATATTCCCTTTTAAGAACCAAGCCACATTATAAGGCCCATCTATCATATGTTACTTATCTGGACCCTGCTCCTGTCCGCCGCCGGTGGCCACTGCCCTGGCCCGGATGTCTCCCGCATGACTGACTGCGAACTGATCGTATGACTGCTTTGTTGCACACTTTTGGATCAGCGTTACTACTGCATGGTGTATGAGGCATGCGTTTGACAGCTGCAACAGTATCTTTTCCGAATTATCTTTCCTTACACTACACCATCGCATGAAAATAGCCTCCGGGAAGCTGTCTGCTTTAGGTATGAATTAGCGCAACGGACACTCCATTGCCCATCACGCAGCGTATACGACTTGTTCTGCTTTTGTATGTAGGCGGGGCGTAGCCAGAGCCTTGCCAAGGGCGAACACAAGGTTGACAAAAGTCCATCTTATGGTGATCCCCCCCAAATCCCCGGATATATCTTACTTGTTAACAAGTGTCACGGTTTTCTTCGTTATATTGTTATTTTTACATTGTAATCCGAACAGAAACCAGGAGCTACCGTGATCTCAATTCTGTTTGTATTTTGAAGTCAATAAACTTCAGAAATTAGGCGTTGCACTACTGCATGGAATGAATCACCGGCGGTCTTAATTTACAATGATAAATTGACTCTTTATAAGCAGATAGAATAAGGAAGCTTTGTCAGAATCTGTTTCTGGGTTCTACAGATATTGAGGACATCGCGAAGGTAGATTGTAGATCGATATGTTTGATCCAAATTGGAAGATGAAAATTTGATTGCGTATCGAAGGGCCAATAATGGGTTAACATGGCCAAGCCATGTTTGTCTGAAAATGTTCACCATTCAGTCAAAATAGATTGGCGATACAATTTATTTAACGTGTTTTGTAACATGCGCCTTCGCAAATCTTAGCAACAAAAATCTCGACATCAGGCGTTGCAGTCTTTACAGTCCCCGAAGCATTAGCCCAGAAACTAACTCTTAGCTCTGGCCCTCTGGTGGACGAAAACGATGACGCCTTTGAAAAGATTAGATTTAAACACTACTCGACCAGTGCTACGAGATATGTGACGTAATTTTGAGTACGCGCACTTAAAACTTTTATAAACACAAGCCTCGAACCCAGGCGTTGCAGTCTCCGTAGGCCGCACAGCGTTGGCCTAGCAGCTAATACTAAGTTGTGGCCAACGGTTGGAGGAAAAGGACGACGTTTCTGAAAAAAGCATCCTTGAACGCCTCATGACATCAGATCCTACATGTAGAATGCAATCTTAGTGCACATTTCACGCGTGCAATTTTTAGACTGATGGAAAGAATTGATTGGCCCTTAGAGCACCGCGAAGTGGGATTGGAATCTGGTGGTTCAACAGAAAGAGTGACGGTAGAATCTCCATTTTTCGTGTTTTTTTGCAGTTATTTATCCATCCAGAAGACAGATTAACACGGCGCCCGCTGTCTGGTGGCACATGCAGCGGCCGAAACTTTTCGGTTTTACGGAGGTTGCGAACCAGACCATCCTTGTCCTTGCTGTCGAGGCTGCGGGCGGGCATGTTCAAGCGTTTTGATGTAATTTTTTTCAATAATGCATTCTGAAAAATGAATAATCCCAGAAAAACAAGGCATGACCCTGCTCGTTTTTTAAGCTCATTTCGACCCACCTTATTCAACAATAATGAGACCCCCATCTACTCAACAATAACGTGACCCCTTAATTCCTTCCGGGAAAGGGGCCTCTTGAGTAGAACGCCAGGGGTACATAACCGTTTCCAGTCAAGGGCTGAAGGGCCATTCCGTCCCATCGCGAAGTGTCTTCTGGCTATCATTCTGGTGGCACGGAGGGGATCTCCTGGTCGATCCGAAGGCCATTAGAAGGATATATCATATCACATTGTTCCCATCCCTGACACAGCAGGCCTTCTGACCCACGCAGTTAGCCCCGGATCAGCACAGGAACCCTCACTGACGCAAAAACATCCCTGATCACCGCAGGTAGTTCAATAATTGCCACATAGACTCCAGTTCCGTGTTTTTCTGTGTTCTTCAGATATATTGAGTTCTCTCTGACCGTAGATTGTAGATGAAATGGGTTCCTAATTTGTATTAACATGGCCAACCCATGTTCGTCTTGAAATGCTCAAGATCCTGTCAGAGCTGATTACTGATAAGAAAATTACGTAATATGGTCCTGAACATGCGCGCCTCGCAAGTCATAGCAACAGCCTCGGCGCCCGGCGTTGCAGTATCCAGGCCGTGCGGCGTCGGCTTGCGGCTGTAACACTAAGCGATGGCCAATGAGCAGACGAAAAAGATGACGCATCTTAAGGGAGATGGCTGGTGAACTAGGCAAATCGGCATACATGTTTAATGTAGTGCAAAGTAAGCCAAATACAGCCATAATCTGAAAAATGGGGGGGGGCAGTTAACATTGCTAGCCCCCCACCGTGAAAAGTGAAAGGCCATGGCCCCCTGCCCCCCCCCCCCCTTGTTCCTACGTCCATGGTAGTTTGACCTTGTTTAGTCGACCCGAGGGTCACATCGTGGAGATCTCAAAACTGTACACAAACGAGCTCACATAGAATCATACCTACCGTAGGATTTTGGTGTCCCCCTGCCCCCCCCCCTCCCCCCTCCTACTGTTCTGATGTGTCATGGTTGGTCACTTTAATATCCCATTTGGAGCGCGTCGCATTCGACTGATCAGACTGCCGCGTGTAAGACCTGACGCTTCCCACATGTGCCATTTACCGTGGCTTCACACGGCACTGTACCTGCACGGTTGTTTTGTCCCCGCGCTCAGGTCTCCCTAGAAGAGGCGCCACAACGCGTTTGCTTCCGCCTGCCTTCCCGTCGTCGCAGGCCGTTGGCTGTGCTTCTCCCCTCCCCCTCCATTCCCCGCGGCGCGGTCACCCCGTGCTTGGCGTTTCCCCCCCCCCCCCCCTCCCCCCCTGACCGGGAGCGCACGCGTTCTCTGTTGACACGGATACGGGCCACTCGGCCGGAGACGGGAAGTGGGTCGCGGCCGGCCGGATGCTCCGCGCCGGCGGCGGCCCTCCGTCCGGCCGGTGCCAGCTTCCGGCGCGGAGCAGACGGCGGCACCCTCCCCCTCCCCCGACCTGCACTGTCCACAGAGGATTGCACATCGCGGCCGCAAAGAAACGTGCGCGGAAACTGCGGGGGAGACAGCTTTGCCGCGGCAGAAGTGCCCCTGCCGCGGCGGAAATGTCCCTGCGGTGGCAGAAATGTCCCTGCATCGGCATAGATGTCCCTGCCACAGCAGCTGTGCTCATGTCACGATTACAGCATCTCTATTACGGCAGACGGCAGAAGCGTCACTCTCGGAGTAAAAAGACGCCTGCTCCATGAAGTGTCCCCACCACAGCAGTAGCACCGCTGACGCACCAAAACTTACCAATACGATATTAAAGGGGGTGTTCCACATTTGTATGGGGTTTTGAACTGAAATAGGCATCTTAAGGACCATTTCGTGCAGCTCACAGCTCTGTCCTTCTTCAGACCTAAATCCCCCTAGGATCTGAGCTACACACCCGCGAAGATGTGCAGACTATTTTGGGCAGACTATTTCAAGGTCACCCAGGCATTCATGACGCCATAACAACGCCGTTGAAATCCTGGCATTTTTAACATGCGGCCATCCAGGCCCAGAAAGACAGAATGGCCGAGTCGTTTATGTCTGGTGTTCTTGAGCACGATTTCAAAATGTAACGGCCGCCAATGGGCTCTCAATCAATGTTGTGCAAGGTACGACAACATAATAAAACAATGGGCCACTGACAAGCATATTTCTTAAGCATAGAAGCTGCGTTGTCTAGAGCAGCCTCTTCCACTTAAAAGCATACCAATACTTATATGTGAGCTTACGTCCATCATATCTAGTGCTTGCTTCAACATCTCCAAACGCGGAACATTTCCTTTAACGAACCGCCTGTGTCTGCCTGTGTTTGCGTCTTTGTCTGCCTCGCCGTCACGCCCAACCCAGGTGAAATGTCTGGGAGCGGCGAACGGCGAGTGACGTCAGTTCGCCCGCTCCGCCGGCAGATCCTGGCCGCCGCCGCTGCTGCTGCTGCTGCTGCTGCTGACCATCCAGCTGGCCTGCGGTGCACTCCCAACCGGCGGTCAGGTGAGCGAGACCGGCCGCTGGCCAGCCAAAAGAGCACGTACTAGTGCCGCCACTTTTGAGCCTGTAGGCTCGCAAGGTGCGGGCTTAAAAATCCCACACGGCTTTTGGCAGGTATTGCTGACAGTATCGCGGGCACTGACGCGTATTCTACATTAGAACCGATCTCACATTTGTTTTTTTTAGCCACAAATCTAAACATAATTGATCAGCAACTGTTGGTAATCAGTGCCAATGGAAAATAAGTTATTTGTTTGCACGCGGATGATAGCACAGGAAAGACTACATTGAAGTACAGAGTTTTCCAGCTATACAATCCGGTCATTTCATGAACATCCATGCTATGCTGTAGCTTCAAGAGTAGATTACTATGGCATAACAACCGACAATATTACAGTTAGGTGCAATTACTTAACTGAACATTCTGGGAGGACGAAATTTAAACTCAACAGAAAGTTCCATCCTGAAATAATCCCACATTAATTGCAGATTCTGTCATGGATGTAGCTTCCTATTCAATAAGAGGGCTCCAGTTCGACCCCATAACTTATAAGTTAAGTCATTTATCCCTGCTCATCTCACGCTAAGGAAATCAATGTTTTGCAAGACTACGCTCCTGGATTTTGCACACATTTTGTCAAAAATATCACAGGTCACTGAGAACACAAGCCACATGCAAACATTCAGTGGTTTGTATGCACATCTGATGGATGCAACTACCAAGGCTTGCTAAATTGGCAACACCACCAAATGCCTACATTGAATTAAAAGCATTGAAATCCTATGTCCTGCATTGAAATCCAATGTGTGTCTGTAGAATCCATAGCAGCAAACCAAACCAGTCCACTGCGGCTCACACCCCATCTGCAAGTTATGTAACTTTATGCGGCATTGCTTTCTGCTATATATGTACACTAGTGTGGTATTTATACGGGAAGAAAACCACAGGTTAACACTTAAATCCAACCATTCCGGCGATCCTAGCACACTTTCAAAAAGAAATTATCGAAGGACGAAATCTGCGCAATAGGCTGGTTGTCATCAGATGCCACACGAGCTCGGATGCGCAAGATAGCCTTTACGTGGCGCACGGACACAGACGATCTCGTATTTGCTAGTCAACTTTGAATGGGTCGCCAGCTGTCTGAGCGCAAGACGTAGGATTGGGGTCATTTATGGCGCGCTCATCTTTCACCAAATGCTACGTTTACCTTCTGTTACTTCACATGTGGCGTGTCGATGACGACGCTGGTCGGCATGAGGCATTATGTGCACACCTATATTGAAAGGTTTGGAGCATAAATCCAGCATTAAAAGAACAACTTTGATGGCTGGCTGTAAGCGTCGATGCTGGATGCAGATAAGCAAAACCAGCCATCGTTCAGGAACACAGGACTGGCGATGAGATTGGAAATGGTGCCTGGTGACCAAGAACAATCTTTTGAATATTCGTCCCATGAAGCATGTTATGCGCTAGGCTATGCACACTTATTCGTATATGCCAATGTTTCTTTGTGAAACTGACCAGTTGCTTGGTTTGAAGCACCTGCTATTTTGAGCCTTTGGGTGGCCAAAGTATTCTTTGCATAACGCATGCCTACAGCTATGCATGTTTAGGACTGTAGCTATCACATAAACTCAGGTAAGTGTTTAATCAGGCTTGGTATTTGGACCATTATCCCGGCTGGGGTTGTTTGATTTCACACCTTTCAAGGAATAGATTGTTGGTTCCTTTTGAATAGCGCTCTGAAGAGTCAAGGGATGCTGTCGTGGGCAAAGTAGATTTATACCTGGGACCAAAGAAATCGCATGCGTTGGTTCTTTGGCGCAAGGGTGAAAAAAGGGCATTTTCTGTCACCGACAAATTTTGGAACCGTCTGAATTGTCACCTGGAGTCAAATCACTCAGAAACCGTTGCAATATAACCCTAAATGTGATAAACAAAACAACCAAAACAAAGGCAAAATTAATATAGTGCGGCATGATCATCAAATATTTTCTTTTCAGGAGTTTATTTGTAATACAATTTCATTTGCTGCCCATTAAACGCTAAGCGATGGTTGAGATTAACCAAAAATAATTATCACATAAAGGCATACTTAACATCACTAGCCTAAACGCGTGTGGCTTCCCACTTAGTTTGGGGGGGGGGGTGAGGCGGGATTTTGTCTCCTCACCAGGGGTATGCAGTATAATAGTTTTAGTTATCATTTTTATCTCTTATTTTCATTTATCATTATATGGGGAGTTCAGCCATTCAAAAACTTACTTTGAGGAACTACATCCCCGCTCTGGACTGCGAAAAAGCGCGTCAAATTTAGGGGAAAGCTGTTTTAAGTGCATTTCGGAGGCACGCTCAGCCATTTTTCCTTCCTGCAGCCCCCCCCCCCCCCCCTATCCCTTCCATCCCTCATCCCTCTGTATTTTGCAAAACTGCATTCCTGTAGACCTACATCTACCGATAACATGGTTCCACAAGCACCTGAAACAATATCACTTTTGTTGTCATGACGTCATCGTACAATCAGCTGGAAGCGTCGGCGACCTTCATTATATTTGCACTGCCGGCTTGGTGGATAAGGTCGGCGACAAAAACACATATATTCACGCGAAGCTTGGTGCCAATTTTTTTTTAGACATCAAATTTCGGTGACAGCCAAGACAAAGAAATACAGCACACTATGCAAAACACAACATGAGGTCTCCGTACACAGATGTTATGCCTCCATGGTAATAAATTCCGTCACAAAACACAAGCAAACGTTTTTGTAAAAACTCTTTACCGTACTCCACGGCACCCTGGTATCTTTTCTAGGCTTCATTCCAGCCCGGCGACAAAAATATCCCATGATTTTTAGTTGGTCGGTAGGCTCGGTGACAGGTCGGCGACAAATCAGTGTAATTCCAATGGCCCGGCGGGTCAGCCGATTCACTATTTTTAATAGCCGTCTCTCCGTGTCCCAAACTAGACAGTATAAAGTACTGAAACAGATCTAGATATGGGGATTCATCTGGCTGCAAGGGCGTGTTTCAACTGTTGCGATGCCACTGACATGAGGTGGACGGTAATTTTCAATGCAGTCCAACTTTGTAAGTGACGTTCGCATTGCAGTGTCATTTATACCTGCCTAGAGGTTAATTTCTGGCCTTGTTTACTTCGTTGGTTGTGCCGTGATTTAGCACCCTGTCCTCAGCGATAAGAGGCATTGACAGCTCAGGCAAGTCGGCAGGATAATCCGATCAAGGTAGACATTGACCTGTGATTATCCAAACCGCCTTTTCGAGGCACCGAAAAGCTGTTGACTCACCGAAGAAATCACAAGCGACCAGCCTTTTCCCTTTCAAAGAGCTGTGGATTTGATGTTGAAGCGTGAAAGCACTCCTGATGAAGGGGAATAACAGGAGGTGATAATAGTTCTGAAATATAAAATTATGCCATTTTGCGCTTGGCCTGATTGAGAACGGTCACCACTCACATAGATCTTCAAATCAATTCAATTCTTCTTATTCAGTTCAGGGCTCCATCCCCCCCTCCCGCTCCTCTCCCTAAGTGTGAAGGGCTGTGCTGATCTGGGAGACATCCATATTTCTGGGGTACATTGCATAATTTTTCGCTGCTCCCTTATCTATTTTCAAAACTATGCCCCTGCTTGAAATACGATTATGTTTGAAAAATGCTTTGAAAAGTTTTAAGCGGTTTGGAACCTACATTTGTAACGTAGGGTTTCGTTCACGTAACAGTGTCATCTCTCTGCGCGCGGTCCGCAGAATCGTCGCTTACCCCCCCCCCCCCCCGCCGCACGCGCCGGCCTTGAATCCTCTTGCAATGTCGTAAAAAATCGCTATTCTGAAACCAGAATTCTAGGGGCACTTTTTTGCCAACACGCATGCAATGGATGGCCCAGAGGCTACCGAAGATTTGAGCAAGGCTACACAATGTACCGCACTTGTATCCTCGGAAAACCGTGGGGGCGGGGATAACGCATCGCTCCCCCTCCCCCTCCTGTCAGGGCGGATAACTTGTACGGAAAGAGCTATTCGCCTGATGTGAATTTGTTGACAAATTTCGATGCAGTTGTTGGGGCACAGCAAAAAGCGCCCACCATGCAAAACATGTCGGGCCAGGATTGGAGCATGCCTAAGGTAGATACTTTGATGACGGTTGAGATGGGGCTCGAAGCGCAAGTATGATCTTCATGAGGGGCATGGCCTCGTGGAGACCCCATATTTGACGTTATTCCTAGTGTCACTTGCTACTGGTTCGGAATCTGCCATGCATTCTGCTGCCCCGGCTATCGAGGTCCTACGCATTTTTGCGGTCGAGGACAGCAAATCCAGTCGTAGATCGAGTTTAAATGTAAGGCCCCGGCAAGCCCCGAGGGTGGAAAAACTTCCCGTCGTGATTGGGCTATCTCATTAGACCTGGAACAGGTGCGTCTGCTTTCTTAGCAGCAGCACTTGTCCTGATATTTGTTCGAGGGCGGTGTATGACTGAACGTTTCGGTTGTGTGCATAATATCGAACATTGCAGTGATGAAAGATACTTTTAATGATAGGCTGATTACTGATGACGCTACTGGGGATGGACTCAATGACTAGTTTGACATATGATATCGCATTACGCTACTGGTGACAATTTTTCCTCCCCAAATTTGGTAGGTGACAAAAATACACTTTCACCACCCCTGACTCGCACTTCCAAACATGATCCCAATTATTTAGAGCAAAACTCATACAATATTAGTATCAACACATGCAAACGACATTTGTGAACACCTCTAACACCTTCATTTAGCTTTATATGTAATATGACAACTAAATGTGTTTTATCTCACGCTTGTTCTCCGTGCAGTGCGCTAAATCTGACGTGCAGCGGGCAATGTGAGAGGCCTACATCATCAATGCTCGACCTCTTACTTTTAAGCCGCTGTTCCCCTCAGTAGCAGGAAGCCTCGGATGAATTCTTGACATGTGTCGCTCCAACGAGCTCCGTTTACCTCTGA